TCAGTAACTTGCAGATAAAAAGAACTTGGCTGACCTGTGTTATGTTTACGCAAAACTACACAATGGCCTATTTTCGCTCTGTCCACCGCATGGAAGTGAATCCCAGGTTTTAGCATTGTAAGTCCAGAAACTTACCACTGATCCACCGAGGGACAACTTTTTCAGTCTTAATTTTGTTATTTGGATACTTGTAAGTCAATTGTACTCAACTACTCATCATCCTCATTAATACTTACTTCAAGTTTACTTAAACAATCATAATGTTCATTTGTAATTTCGCTCACCTTCTCTCATCCATATAAAAGTTCTAAAGTAACTTTCTACAAATAAGTTTATTGATAACCAAAGAACAATTTCCTTGTCTAAGAAACATCATCTGCCTGAAAATAATAAAATCTACGACCAATGTAGCCCTGTTGTTACTATGGAGGAGGAGAGGCACTAGGATACTTCACTTTCGAAAAGTGGCTGGTGGAAAAAAGCCTTAAGCGAGACAGCTAAATGTTTAATTTATTAATAATTTTCAAGTCTATTTTTGGTTATTAGTGTTTTATTTTATAGCTAAGCGGCGTTTTGTCTAGAGAATATTAGTGCACAGGAGAGTTTTTATATAAAAAAACGAGGTTTCAGAGATATGCAATATGTCGCTTGTGACAATAACACAAAGAACAAATCAAGAATCGCAGGTCATGTCCTACAAAACGTGAACGTTGCTGTCACAACTGAGGTTTGAAGTAACTAATGGAGCTAAAAATGAGCAATAGTTATAAATGCGAAGCTGAAACTGAATCTAAATTAATAAAATCCGGCATTAGAGTGTTTGCTCAGATTGTAAATCTGTTTTACTTTCTCCTCTGCTAGGTTTACTCTTGAGTCGGTGACATCAGAAGGTCAACTTGGTTGGCACCTTAACCTATTAAACTAATAAGAAGCCGGTCATTCTAGATTTACACCCATAAGAAGGATGATAATTTCAAAAATCGTGTTTCTGTTTCAAACGAGGAGCAAAATGAAATGTGAAAATTATTACCAATCTTTTCGTTCTATTCCACAGCAAATATCAAGTCGATTCTATATAAATAAAAAACAACCTATTTAAGAATTAAACTGCTGTGAAAATAGGAATTCGAAAATAATAACAAACGGAGGGAAAAATGTATACATATTAACATAGTCTCCTGGAGATCTTTTATAGTTTTGTTCCATGTTAGATTGGTTACTTTCAGAAACATCATTAGACACGAAACCTTCTTGTACTACTGGTCTTATTAGGCTCATAGCCTTTTAATGATCTTTCCAGGCTCTACTAAGTAGTTCCTTACTGGTCTATTCGAGTCTGAATCTCAGCTGTTTTTGTGTCTTGGTCTTCATAGTGGTAAAATGTTATTGTGGTGGGGAAGGCGATCTTTTATTGATTGTTGAATAGCTTCTCTTCCATCATCGACTATGCAGCTTGAAGAATTATTTCCCATTTTTCGGTTCAGTATCTTCCTCGCCTTCACACTACAGTTCAGCTACTTCAGACTTCTATCCTCGCCTTCACACTACAGTTCAGACTATGCAGCTTGAAGAACTATTAACCATTTCTCGGTTCAGTATCTTCCTCGCCTTCACACTACAGTTCAGCTACTTCAGACTTCTAGGATGGAGAGTACCAATTAAACTCTCGCTTGGCAGTTTTGACTTTTCTCATCTCCCAGAAAACGGGCAAAATGAAAATGACCAACATAGATATTTCTTATTTAAGAAAACCTCACAGCCTGGTTGGCAAACATAATTCCTTTTCTATGGAGTGGTTACATATGATTCATATCCTGGTTCAAGCAGATTAGGCAATTTCACGAGATGATGACCGCTTTCACTCGTGAACTCTGCAGACATATCAGTCCTAAGAGACGACTTTCTCTTTACATTCCAAAAAAATGTCAGTTAAAGAAAATGTTTGACTTAAGGATTTTGTATTTGTTGTCTACTTATTTAAGACACGAATTAATCCTACTCTCATTTTCATGCTTTTCAAGACCTCATCGAGTTTATCTGAGACTGGTTTCAATATTAAAGTTGAATTGAATACTTCTCTCAGACTTCAGGAGAGTAGAGGTGGAAATGGTAACGCCCAAAGATCTGAAGGTCACATCTATCATAGCGGAATCTGAAGTTAGGTAAAATATACTACTGCATCCTAGTACAGAAAGTAGCGTAGGGACATTTTGGATATAAGGTTTGTAATCATGTTTTTACGTTAATTTTTATATGTTCAATCCAAATATCTAGGTTAACAAATTTCCAATATAAAGATTCAAAAATATTCAAAATAAAGAAGCAGAATATTAGATCAATTTTTATTCCATAATTATACGGATTTGGTTTATAAATAATAATAATAATAAAATACTTGCATGCATGATTTAATTAAACCTGGCAACTAAGTATTGTTTGCTACAAATTTGTTTTATTTTGAAGCATTTGAAGCACGAATTTACATTAACAAACTTAAATTATAATATTACTACATAGCGAACATTTTGTTTAATGATATTAATAATGATTGGTGAAGAATTGAAAACCATCGCTGTTAATTTGATTTGGATCTGCTGAAAACTATTAAATAACAAACTTATATGTAGTTAATAAAAGATTAAATAAAGTTTTTTACAAACTAAAAAAAAAGATAAAACTCAAATTCTTACTACATTTATTTAGGTCGTGAAAAAAGTTCCAAATTATCCATCTTATACAAATGCACACCTGGTGTAAGAATTCAACGTATCAAACTTCTACATCTCTAGAGGAAGTCTTGAAAAATAAAAAATAGAAAGTCCCATTTTTTTTATCACCAAGGTGTCTTTTACTCAAAGCATAATATTAAAAAAAACGCATTACACGCAAAACACGTCGTATGTTATGCATTTTCATACATGGTATTTATTTACACTTTATCGATTCACACAGTCAACTTTAGTGTCATGTTTCTGGTATTCACATGCTCCACTTCAATAAAAACGGTATTCCTTGCGCTTACAGTGCAGTGTTCCACAACCTTCTCTGCACTGACAGGCGATGACCTACAAACACCTATCTATAAAAATGAGCTTTATTTATTAATATGATCATTGATTCTAGTCACTGGTTATCATTATTGCATTGTTCAACCATCTGAGGACAGCTGCTGGCTACATATTGGTATACATAGTAGGCTTAAGAACTGCTAATTCCAATGGATGCAAATTGCTAGCTTATTTTTTAAATATGAGGAATGATAAGCAAACTTGTATTAATACAACAAAGCACCTCCTGAAACACCTGCTTCATAAAATTCCCATGCATTATGTTGCATACACTAACATAACTTACGCAAGGAATTTATAAAATAATTAATTTTTTGTTCATGTTGAGTGGGCCCGGCATGGCCAGGTGGATAAGGCGTTCGACTCGCAATCTGAGGGTCGTGGGTTCGACTCCCCGTCCCACCAAACATGCTCGCCCTTTCAACCGTGGGA